TCACATAGTACAATCTTCCTGAGATCTTATATCCACATTTTTTTTTTTTTTTAAACAAAATATTTACTGTGAGGTCCGTGATCTCCAAGATATAAAACTAAAATAGGCATTTCCTGCATAGCAGAAGGTAACCACAAAGGCGAAGAACTATAGAGAGAGGGAAAAGAAAAAACAAACATTAGAAAAAAATAGTATCTTTTTAGAGCATTTTAATTTTATGAAAAGGATTCGATAGAAGAGAAATAGCTACATTAATAAAAATGGTGCTCATTTAGGATCTGATCCTGCCAACTTAACTCACAAAGAGAAGCAACTTATTTTATTATTCCACTAGGACCATATTGATGGAGGAAGGCACTACTCAAAGTGAATATGGTGACAGAGTCAGACCATTACTGTAAATACAGTACCTAACTTTTGCAAGCTTTAACTGTTCTTGTATACTTCTTCCCCCTTCTCCTTTAAACTTTTTATGTATTACTCGAATAGCTGCATATCAGCTATTCTATATATTTTAATACCACCCAGTGCCATCGGTAAGGCTTCTGTTATCACTGAAAGTTATTTAAAGTAGACAGCTTATGTTAAGCAATTATGAAAATTTAGGACCAACCAGGGTTAACAGGTACAATGTATCTGGTTCTATATGTTGTCATGGGCCTGATTCTGTCACCCTTACTACTGGAGCAAAGTACCACTGAACATGTATAAGGGTAGAAGAATTAGGGCTCAGATTAGACACCTGTATAATGATGCTAAAGAGTATATAACATCTGTTGGTGAGCTTTGTTTAATCAGAAGCACCAAACAAATTGTAGGAATTGGTGTAAAATATGGTTAATATAGAACACCGTGAGAATGTTGTTGCATTCTTAGTTTTGGGAAGTTTTGAGTCTTTCCTGAACTGCTCATGAACAAAAACCTGAATGCTTTCTTTTAGTTATGAGAGCATGTTGGGTGGAGATGATTTTGTTACTACTGAATTCTTAAAAATCTCTTTTTAGGAATAAGCAGGGGATGGAGGAACGTTTAACAAGCTCTCAGAGTAATAATCCAGGATTAACAGTTAAACAGCATTATGTGCAAGTAGCACTAAAAGCTATCAGAAGAGGTCCCAGGACATCTCAGATGATCTGACTGATCTGTGGAGCATTAATGCATTCTGCTTAAAAACCCGAATCAGCACAACTTGTATAGCACCAAACAAGTTCCCGCCAAAAGCAACACCCATTGAGTGACAGGCCTTTAGTTATGAGGTGCCAAGAGGGAAATAAAACACTAAACACCAGGGAGGTGAGAGAGAAGAGGTCCTCCACATGGGTGGCAGGTGATGTTTCCCGTTGTGGAGCCTAGCCCCTGCCTAGTCTCTTCCGACTGCAGCCCCGCCTCTTCTGGCTGAAACCCCGCCCCTGCTCTCAGCCCCCACATGGCCCTGGCGGGGGGGAGGGGTGAGGGGGAGGAGGGCTGAGAGCTCTGTAGATTTACAAAACCTAAAACAGGATATTCCCATTTCAGCTCACACTTTTGAAAATTCCATTCTCGATGTAACGTTGTCATACATAGAATATATTCGTTTTTATTTATTTTTTTAAAATAACTCACTGAAGAAGCTGCCCAGCTGTTGTAATTGTGGCTGTTCTGCTCATTGGTAACTGAAGATGCATTTACAATGGCAGCAATGAGGTACAAAATAAAGGCACTTCCATTAAAGCATAGACCCTAGGCCAGGACAGGGGAAAAAAAATAAAAAATTAAACAACATTTGATATTGAGTACATACTTCTACTTGCCATGTGCTACAACTACAGGGAAAAATTCTCCTCTCAGTTATATCTGAAACCCTACTGAATTCAGGGGGGATGCATTGATGCAATTGTGAGGAGAAGTTGGCCTCTCGTGTGAACACCCCCACACCATGTAGCTGAAATACAATTCCCAATTATCCTTACTACTGCTGCAATTAAAATAACCCAACAGTGTTATAACTATAATGGCAAGTGCTCCTTATGAAACTTAATATAAACAACATTTGAACGTAATCGTAATTGTTTCACCTTGTAACTCTGGATATTAGTAAGAACACAGTCAAATTTTATGTATTTTAATACAGCTATTGAGCCAAATTCTGCTTTCCTTTACATCACAATAAATCCAGAGTAACACCATTAAAGACAGTGGAGTCCGTGGATTTCCAACAGTGAAAATGAAGGCAGAATTAGGCTTTATTATATCAATATTTTAGGCAACAGAAATACAAATACCAATACACCAAAAAAAAAAAAAAAAAAAACAAAAAAAAAAAAAAAAAAAAAAAAAAAAAAGCCACTTGATTAAGTTTCTAAACATGAAGAAAGTTCTGCATATGAATTAACCAGTCAGAATGCTTGCACAGTTTTATGCTCCTCCATTTTGGGGGAGGTCAGGTGGGGAAGGGAGTCACTCTTCCAAGATGAAGTCTCCCATCATGCAGTCTGGCCCCCTTTCCTGTGACAGAAGGAGGGGCGGCCCGTCCATGCAGGCAAACTAGGCGGTTGCCTAGGGTGCAAACTAAATGGGATACCAAATTCGAGGGGGGGTGGAAACAATTAAAAAAAATACAAATAAAATAACGAAGATGTCATTATTTCAATTCTCGTGTGCGTACAGAGGGAATATGAATTATAATTCATTTCTCTACATTTCTGAGAATTTATTAATATGCCAAATCTTTTATTTACTGCAAAAATAAATAAGATTTTAGCGAATTTTTGTTTCAGTTTGCGATGGAGGGTCAAGATGACCCACTCCGCAATTTTGATAAGCAATAACTCAGCCACAATTAAACACATCCGCCAGCAGCAAGATCTGCAATGCTAGTGACACCTAACTCGAATATACATCCAGGTCGCATAGCCGGAAATTCATGTGGAGCAGAGATATCACGAGTTGACACATGTTAAACAGTCATTTTAACACACGTCGCAGGTAGATGGTTAAGAATCGAGTGAATACTGTGGGAAAACTGTGTTTTTTGATGCCAAAGAATAAAGAATAACTTCTTTCAGCATTATAAATCGAAAATGTGAGTATCTTTAAGCATTATTAAACCTTAGCGTTATTATCGGGCTATATAATTATGAACTTTTCTTTGTTATAACTGGTTCACATGTAATAAATAAGGTCCACAAAATAAAAGTAACAGCATTAATGCTTAACAGACTACGAAAGGGATGATGTCACACTTCAAGTGGGTAACCGTGAGGAAGGGGATTACTTTCCAAACAACCGGTGTCGGGTTATCATGTCGAAAAAGGTCATTTGTTTCCGTGTAAATGCTGTAACTGTTTTAATAGGTGAGTGTATGTTACTAATCATTGAATCTTTAAGCAGTGAAAAGATGTGTTGGGATGGCTGCAATGTGGTTTAAATCGCCAACCATGTGGTGGGTGTGTCAGCCATCCTTAACGCTATAATGCTTGCAGTTGGGAGCACAGTACATAACAATATTCAAATGCCCCAAGGCAGAAAGAGGAAAAAGAAAACCCTCAGGAGCCAAGTATTGTAAATGAAAGGCCGAGAAGGAAAAGGACCAAGCAAAACAGCAGGGATCCTTCCTGAAATAGCTTCTCTTTAATCCAAATAAAGATGGAAGCAGTTCACAGCATCCAGATGAAGGAATTTTACTTGGAGAGGAGGTTAGCTCACATCCATATGGAAGCAGTTTGGAACATCAAGATGAAGGTATATTACTTTGAGATGAGGGTAGCTCACATCCACAAAAAAGCAGTTTGGAAACTCAAGATGATGGAAACTTACTTCTAGATGGAGGCAGCTCACAGCATCAGACTGATATGGAAGTGGAGAAAATTTATTCACTTTCAGAGAGATAGGCAGAAATTGAAGTAAATGAAGTAGAAGGAAGAAAGGATGAGGAAGCTACAAACAAGTTACAGTATGGGGACCCAGCTTCATGGCCCAGATCTGATGACAGTGTGCAGCAAATTCTCGTGGAACATGGACCCGAACAAGTTCATGAATTTCCCTTCCCCAAGGATGGAAATAAAAGAAAAATTCTCTGCTCAGCATTACAAGAGGAAACTCATTAATGGGGAAGAAATTCATCGAAACTGGTTATAATATTCAGTGTCAAAGGACTCTGTTTTGCTTTTGCTGCAAGTTGTTTAGAAATCAAGCAATTGGTACATCACTTACTGAAAATGGTTTGAAGGACTGGAAAAACATATCTTCAATTCTCTCTTCACATGAAAGTAGTACAGAACATTTGGAATGTTTTCAAAATTGGAAAGAATTTGAACTACGATTGAAAAAAGGAAAAACTATTGAAGAAAAATTACGTGTGATCAAAGAAAAAGAATATTGGCAACAAATATTAGAGTGTCTGATTGCTTTCGTGAGAGTTCTCGGTGGGCAAAATTTAGCATTCCGCAGCCATGGTAGAAATGAAAAAAAATTATACACTCCAGGTAATGGAAAAACTTTTTAAAATTTGTTGAATACCTAGCTTTGTTTGATCCAGTCATGAAGGAGCATCTACGTAAAATAACTGATCATGAAACACAGGTTCATTACTTAGGAAAAAAATACGCAGAATCAACTGTCAAATCCTAGCAAATGCCATTAAAAAGAAAATTGTATTTTGCAGAATGGGCAACTTCTACTTTTCAATAATACTGGACTGTACACTAGATGTGAGTCATGTTGAACTAATGACGATGATCATTTGTTTTGTGGATATGGAAAAGTCTGCAGATGAAGATAATGCTGAAGTGCTCATAAAGGAACATTTTTGGGGTTTCATACCACTGAAGGAGACGACTGGAGAATTTATGACAAACTACTCTACAAGAACTTGAAACAATGTCATTATCTGTTGAAAACTTACGTGGCCAAGGCTATGATAATGGGAGTAATACGAAGGGTAAAGACAATGGTGTGCAAACGAGAATGATGGAAATCAATCCTAGGGCCTTTTTCGTTCCTTGCAGTGCGCATTCTCTGAATTTGGTTGTCAATGATGCTCCTAAATGCTGTTTGGAGGCAAGTTTCTTTGACCTGGTGCAACGTGTTTATGTGTTTTTTCTCAGGCTCAACACACCGTTGGGAGATTCTGACTCAGCATGTGAACTCTCTAACTGTAAAACCACTTAGTCAGACAAGATTGGAGAGTCGCATTGATGCTTTGAAGCCTCTTTGCTATGAACCTGGAAACATTTATGGATGCCCTAATTGAAATTTCTGATGATACTACCTTTACTGGATCATCTGGCAATATGGCACGTTCAGATGCAGAAGCTCTTGCAAATGGCCTTTCCAAGTTCAAATTTGTGACTTCACTCATTTTGTGGTGTAATATCCTTTTCGAGATTAACTTCACCAGTAAGCAGCATCAGGAAAAGAACTTGAACATACATTCTGCTATTCAAAAACTGCAGCAAACTAAAAATATTCTGGAGGAATTCAGAAGTGATGAAGGGTTCAAAAGAACACTGGTAGATTCTCTCGAGCATGCTGAAGAAATAGACTTTCCGACAGAATTTGAACCAGAGCCAGTTCGTATTCGGCAAAAGAAACAGCAGTTTTCGTATGAAGGATGAGACACACCCATTCAGAACCCAAAACAAAGGTTCAAAGTGAATTTCTACTTCGCAGTCCTTGATACTGCTAGTCACTCGGTTGACGAAAGATTTCAACAGATGCAGCAGCAGCAGCTAGAGTCGGTATTTGGCTTTCTAAATGATCTCCACAGCTTACAAAAGAAAACAACAAAACAGATAAAATAATTTTGTATAAAACTGGAGTCGGCATTGACTCATGAAAATTCAAAAGACATCGATGCTACAGATCTGTGTAGTGAGCTTCAGGCTTTTTCAAGACAAGTTAAAAAACATTCCACTCCTGAAGAAGTACTGAAGTTTGTTTGTGAAAATAAACTCAGACAATTTTCCAAATATTTTTATAGCTCTACGCATTCTTTTAACTTTGCCAGTTTCCGTAGCTAGTGGGGAACATAGCGACTCAAAGTTAAAATTGATAAAAACATATCTGCGTTCAACAATGGTGCAAGAGAGACTTGTTGGATTTGCCACAATGTCAATAGAGCATGAAATGGCTGGAAAACTGGATCTAAAAGAAACGGTTACTCACCTTTGTAACCGTTGTTCTTCAAGATGTGTTGCTCATATCCATTCCAATTAGGGTGTGCGCGCGCCGTGTGCACGATTGTCGGAGAATTTTCTACCCTAGCAACACCCGGTGGGTCGGCTGTGGA